AAGTTTTGACGAAGTCCAATCTATTTTTTCTCTTGTTGCTTTGTTGTCTGTGCTTTTGTTATCATAATTTTAAAACCATTTTGTAATTCAAGATCACAAAGATTTACACCTATGTTTTATTCTAAGAGTGTTACACTTTTAGCGCTTACATTTAAGTCTCTGATCCATTTTCAGTTAATTTCTGTATATGGTTTCAGTTAATTTTTATCTATTGTTTGAGGGTCCAATTTCATTTTGTTGCATGTAGATATCCAGTTTTAACCTTTGTTTATAATCTGGGTGGTTTTTGTTTCTTGGTTTTATTTCTTTTTCTTTTTTTTTTCATTTTAGGCCCCTGCACAGTGTCTACCAGGACAGTGGCAGTGGGGTGTTCCTCAGGTAAATATTAACTTTAAGTGTCTAATTTAAAATCCTTCTTTCATTGTATTCTTGTGAAGACTTCATGAATATGAAAGGAAAAATTGGTTTGAGACCTTCCTCTTCTATTTATTAATTGTGATCCCTTTGGCAGTTCATGTAATAACAATATCCTCAGTTTCTTCATTTGCAAAATGGATATAATGATACTATACCTTTGTAAGTTTCCTTACATGATTTTGTGAAGATCAAATGAGATTATGTAACTGAAAACATTTTATAAATGAGTACTGTATAAATATGAAAAATTACTTTTTACTATTAGTATTATTTGAAAATTTAGCATGTCTAGCTTTACTTCAGATTTTGCTTAAGTTTGACTTATGCTCCTAAGTAAGTATTCTATTTTCCAACTTTTGATAACAAATAGTATACCACCAAAAAGACATTTTCCCACTTCTATGGGAAGTCACAAAGGTGAGAGTAAACATTTATGCCAATTTAAATACCATAGGTCATATTGTTATAACCTTTAATGGTGATGTTAACATATCCATAATTATTATGTGAGATCCTGAGGCATTAAGAACTTTTAGTCCTTACCAGTGATAAAGTTCTTTTTTTTTTTTTTTTTTTGAAACAGAGTCTCCCTCTGTTGCCCAGGCTAGAGTGCCATGGTGTCAGCCTAGCTCACAGCAACCTCAAACTGCGGGGCTCAAGCGATCCTACTGCCTCAGCCTCCCGAGTACCTGGGACTACAGGCATGTGCCACCATGCCCACCTAATTTTTTCTATATATTTTTAGTTGTCCAATTAATTTCTTTCTATTTTTAGTAGAGACTGGATCTTGCTCTTGCTCAGG